GAAGACAATGGAACATTCCGATCACTGGATCATGACTGGATGACATGGAGAACAGTATGATTTTCAAAACAATAAGAAGACAATGGAACATTCCGATCACTGGATCATGACTGGATGACATGGAGAACAGTATGATTTTCAAAACAATAAGAAGACAATGGAACATTCCGATCACTGGATCATGACTGGATGACATGGAGAACAGTATGATTTTCAAAACAATAAGAAGACAATGGAACATTCCGATCACTGGATCATGACTGGATGACATGGAGAACAGTATGATTTTCAAAACAATAAGAAGACAATGGAACATTCCGATCACTGGATCATGACTGGATGACATGGAGAACAGTATGATTTTCAAAACAATAAGAAGACAATGGAACATTCCGATCACTGGATCATGACTGGATGACATGGAGAACAGTATGATTTTCAAAACAATAAGAAGACAATGGAACATTCCGATCACTGGATCATGACTGGATGACATGGAGAACAGTATGATTTTCAAAACAATGAAAAGACAATGAAACAATCATATCACTGGATCGTGACTGGATGGCAATATTGTCATTCTATGTAATTCTACACACGCAAGAAAGTTGATACTCAAAGACAGACCTGCTGCATGCTTATGCCCGTGTTGCCACTCAATAACTCACATGCCTAGTTACCACTGTTCTGGTAATGTAAGGATAGAATGTTACAAAGGTAATCAAACAATTAAACTATACATGTGAGTGAATTGGGTCATATTCGCATATGGGAAGTGTACAAAACAACGTTTTTGCTGGGTTTCCTGGCAACTGGCATAAACACGTGTTAGCCACGTGAAGGTCAACCATAATCGCATGTGTTTTGTCACGTCTGTTGTAAGATCATTTTAAGCTAGCCAGCATTTGCAGACAGAAAAATATTTGCACGACTTACCTATGGTCCAGGAAGGACTGTATTTATCCCATGTTTGTGGGTTTCAGGCAGTCGCAGCATTTTTTTACTTTACTTGCTTTTCCCATGCATGAATATGTTTTAATAATCTTGCAATGTCAATATTTCACAACGGATAACGCATGTCTCATCAACATCACAATTTAAATAAATTTTGCACCATACCTGATTGGTTGATTCCGTCAGTTATTTTAGTTAAAACAAAGAAAGGGATTAGGCGCGTATTTATTCTAACAAAAATTGTTTGCATTACTTGGACGAGTGTTAGGCCGATAAGAAAATATTTACACAACTGATAACACTGCTGTAGCAGAAACACACGCGATATGACGGTCACATACGTGTTCAAATCAAAGGTTCTGCTTCCCCATCATACAGAAAACATTTTTCAAAGTGCGCTGTTTCGTAAACGTCATGTCTAAAATGCGCGCAACATTTGATATCTGTGGCGGTTTAGGGTCAAAAACAGATATGGTTTTATAGTAGATGAAACTCTCGGGAAAGACACTTCATCTATTTCCCCTTACAGCGATCTTAAGTAGTATTGATTGACTGCATAATTGACATCAAAACTGTAACCGCTGCTTACACATATAGAAATATTGGATAGTTTGTAAAATATCATGTTCAACTATTCAGTGGCAACCGCACGTCCAAGTGTGAATGTGTTAGGCAATGTATGAAAGCAATTAATATAACATAAACATGTTTTTATGCTTGGTTGCAGTCAGACCAGTCTAGGTATAAAGACGATAACAGAACGTTGCTATGTGAAGGATATCAAGATCCTGCTGGCATCTTACTCGTTTGAATATTAGTTGAAGGGTATTCTAGATGGAAATTATCGCGTGGAAATTCACATACATTTATAAGAGCTAACCAGAAACAGAAGCGAAAAATGCAACTATACAGGTACAATACCCTTCACGGCCTTCAGTTATGTGAAGGATACACAACTACCTGAAAATATAAGCTACTGACGTAGTGACGTCCCAACGAAGCGCCTTCGCTTGAAAACGTCCAAGTTCTCCTTGTATTTTTCAGGTAGTCGCATCCCTATCCATCTGAAGCTTTCTCGTTCTTGTTGCTACCAACACTGGCACAGATTGTTCGAGATTTTATAAATCTTAATATAAAAAAAACAATAAGACCATCTCACCTTCAGATTTTTACCTGCTATAAAAGTCTTCAAATTGCAAGTTTGTTCAACGTGAAGTAGTGTGTGGATGCTCTCTTGCTGGAAAATCCTCAATGCAGTTAGTGCGCTGCGGCTGAGATTGACTGTCCAACCTCAGAACACGCTAACGTATATGTGACATGCAAAAACAATAGACACACAAAGATTAGCATGTAATATGAGATGAAGTGTTGATGGACCGGCCACAAATATGAACTATCCGCATTCCACGCACTCGATATTAATTAATACTCGGTGAATATTCGTTTATGGCGACATTCGCTCAGGAAGCAACTTCAAGTTAGGACACTTCGTCTTAAGGACACTTCTTATATTACGCTTGGGAAAAAGGCACATTGAAACATGTGTCTCATGTAAATGGCATGAAAATGAAAATGGCATGAAAATGGCACATGTGCCTCAGTAAACTGTTCTCCTTAGAGTTTAGTAAAGGCCATCCATTATTGGTCTGGTATTGTACTACAGGAGGAAACTTGTGTACCTGGAGAGATGTGCTGTTTGGTAGAGGGGCTTATATGGGGCTTCGGTGACGAAGTAGTTAGCGCACTTGCCTTTCACCTCTAATGCCGCAGGTTCAAACCTCAATGAAAACTTTCTCAATGCGACTCGAACCCAGTCCTCGTGTGAAAAGAGTAAAAATCCTCCGGGTACTCTGGTTTCCTCCCACAGGGAAAGCCAACAGGGTGGGTTAGGTAAAAGGGCCCACAGTAATTTGTATATGCTGTTGTGGTGACCCTGCCCTAGTTGGCAAAAGCTAAATAAAATAAAATAGAGTGAAACTGCAAGCACTATTTTCTCATGTGACTGAGGTGAAATTGTAATCAGACAACTGCATATTGTAGAAATCAAACACAAGGTACATCTCCGTAGATCGTAGTGAAACCACGGCAAGTCCTACATGACATTTATACTGATTTCGACTTTCTCGATTGTTTTACATGTGTAGATTCTGTACATTTGAAGTTTACACGTTTGCTGAGATGCTTAACGCTGAAAAATCACAATTCAAAAGGTAACTCTCTCAAAATATACAACTGAATAAATCATAAAGCAGTTATAAAGGCAGTAAATATACCGCATAAAATGATGGTATTTTGTGATTCATAAAACGATAGTGATCCCTGTTTATGAGTCGATCTTTATAAAGATAATTTCTAGAGTTCATTGTCTTTTGTCGTTATAATAGTTTCTTGTTTCCATATGCCGTCGTAACGGTCGTAAAGATTGAGTCACGATCTTTCTCTGCAGCCGGCAACATTTTAAAACTGAAAAATGAAATTACGCGGAGTATATAACTAGAGAATACTTATGATTTGGGTTTACAGGCATAAACTATTATAAAACTGGTCGTTGAGAAAGATCGTGACTCTATTTTTACGACTATATGGAAACCAGGCTTTATGACCAACCAGGGATCAACCAATCACAAAGCCCGCTAACATAAGTCGGTGGCGACTCCTGCAAAGAAGCGTTCACGTTCAACTATTATTCTTATATTGTGCGAGATGACTGTGATTAACTTTCTAAATTTGTGGGTGTAACCGCCCTAAGAGTAGCGGGCTGGATATTCTCGGGTCGTTTCAGACGCAATATATGCTTAAATGCGTTACGGAATCTGGGAGAGCGTATTGCATAACAATAAAAATTCACACTACTGTTCATTATCACAAACAGAAACTGCAGATCTCGAAACCAGTGCAGAGTATTACATTGACATGTCTCACAAAAAGACATGACGTAAATTAGGACGGTCGAGGGGCCATAACAGCAGAGCATGGCTATATGAGAACAACTAAGAACATTTTGGTGATTTTCCGCTCCATTACCTGGCAACTGTTATAGATTGCATTGGGTGGTGGAGATGATTCGATCGTTACTTGACTTCCTCGTAGCACACTCTGTCTACTTGCACCCTGGGCTTGAGTGACCTGATCTCTGTACTGTGGTCGAGTTTCTGGATTGTTCTCAATCTCACTCTGACTTTGACCTCTTTGACTATTTCTAACCTTACGCATGGCTTGGGAATTCTTTGATGATTCAGTCGCAGCTGGGGCCGACTCGGTTGCAACTTGACAACCTCGTAGCTGAATCTGACCTTGAGTCCATGATCGGGTATCTGGACTGTCTTGGATCACACTCTGATCTCTAATTTGTGATCGAAGTACTGGACTATCACGTGCCATACTCTGATACCGAAGCTGTGGTAGTTGACTATTTCGAGCCATACTTTGCCTCTTCTCAGCATACCTCATTCGCCTCTTGTAAAACTTCTTCAACATTAACCCATAAATAAAACAAGTTATTGCAAAAACCGCCACTAGCGCTGTGTTGGCAAAAATGAAAGCGTACGTTATAAATCCCACTTCAAAATATAGCAACGGTAATAATACCGAGATCCCCCAAATACTGGCGATTGTACCTAGGATTCTTTTCCCGGTGAGTTTGTTCCGGTAGGTATGTGGGTTCCTGATAGCTAAGTACCTCTCTACGGCTAAAGTCCCCAGGCTGAGAACTGACGCAGTACAGCTGATGAAGTATGACATGTGTAGAGTTTGAAAAGAGTGTAAATTAAGGTCCAGGCCTTCCTTGAAATGTAAATACACGGACAAAGGCTCGGTCACAGTCCCCACAAGTAAATCCGCGCAGGCCAAACTGGCCATGAGGTAGTTAAAAGGGGTACGTAGGTTCTTATAGGGATCCAAGACTACAGCTAGGATCACTAGGAGATTACCTGGGATGTTTAGGAGTAGGAAGATTAAGGACCATATTGCAGTAAACAATGAGAGATGGTTCGGGGCGCCTGTGCTATGGCATCGTTCTTCGAATTCTCCTTGGAAATATTGCATCGTTTCCGCTGTTGTTGGATGACGTCTCAGTCAGTAAGATCTCTTTCCTAAATGGTTGAATTTAGTCGTACGTTAGTGATCACTGGGCCAGTCATGCCGCTGCATCACAGGGCTGCAGGTTCCATTCCTGTCAGACTGTCTCAGGGGCGAAACTAGCCCCTTTTAATTCGGGGGGGGGGTGTCTGCCAGAATTGCCCTACCAAAACCGATGATGCCCTGCAATAAATTTTTATTTCTGGCCACTATTTTTCCCAAAAATGTTGGGGAGGGGGTTGGGTTGAAAAAAAATTTTCCGGACATTAAAAAAAGGGTCGAAAAAGTTTTTCCGCACATAAACCAATTAAATTAAGGGTCAAAAAAATTTTTCCGTACAAATTCCTGTTAGAACATGGGTGAAACCTTTGGACCAATGTCTGTAAAATTTAGGTCAACAAATTCTACTCAATTCCCAGTGAAAGCCCTGTAAGTTACTTAATAACTCTACATTCTATCATTTTTTTTATAAAATCTTTGATTGATTCGTATTTTTTTTGGGGGGGGGGGGTGTCACACCCCCCCATACCCCCCCTCAAGTTTCGCCCCTGGAGGGTCTATATTTGCATTTTTCGCAACTGCTCCTGGTTAGGGACTGGTCATAATTTATCAGGGGGGGGTGGGGAGGTGTAATTCAAAATTTTAAGGAATGATATTTTGTGACCCTGCTTTTCCATAACCCGGAAAAATAATGCCCCCCCCCCCCTTTTATGTGAGAAGAACAAAATGTGAGAGGGCATGTATAAAAAAATTGATCGAACTAAAACAGCAGACCCCCTCCCCGCCTTCATAAACTGTCTAATATCAGTTATGACCCCCCCCCCTTTTTCCTGGCTAAAAAATATGTGACCCCCCACTGTTTCCACCTCCCCACCCCTCCTGCTAAATTATGACCAGTCCAATAAATATATAAAAATTCACACTCGAAAATTTCCATCTACAAAACAGTCCTTCAACAAACTGCATGTTATTATTAAACACGACAACTGCGTATAAACGAAACTAGGTGTCGCCACTTGATGTTTGGATGCAATATTAACAAACGTCAGGATATTGCGATTTGATCATAAAAAGACTTCTGCCAACTTCTGCGTCTATAGTCCCACGCGCTTTTTGACAAAATATTTGTTCAGCAGTGTTCGCTGATTCAACGAAAGGTTATTTCAATTATCAATTGTTTTCTGAAATTTACGGAGAAAAGTAAATTATTTTGAAAAAAATGTCAATATAGACTGGATTTTGCTTACTCGAAAATGTCGCCAATTCTAGACATTCTAGTCTTCTGCCATAAAACAAGCAATATTTCCTGATATCGTTCTTTAATATCTTCTAATCATTTCTCAAATTCTATATAGTTTATGATAATATCAGCAAGTATGTCAACCTACAAATTTTAAACATTGAAAGTTGAAACAGCATATACACACAGATAGTCTTTTCAGCTTTGAACGATTTCAACTTGCATGGAATAAAATGTGCGATTGAAAAGTGTTGAGGCTTCCCTATAGCTAACACATAAATTCATTTAGTCGTAGTATCAGAGCAGCTGCTCATGGATTATTCATTACAATTGTTTTAATTTCCCGTGTATATAATACCACACCTTTTCACTTGACAAGTGAAAACCAATTTTAAACGAACTTAATTTCAAAGCATATTTTCAATGCATATAAAAAGAAAGTTGTTCTGAAAATATTTTATTGTTAATAGACCGTAAGTTTGCTTTCTATAGTTGAGCGATATTACCACAACACATTATTTCTACATTTCTTTATACCCATGCATATATGTTTTAATATATTGAAATAATCAAAGCCCCCAAACGCGCATCTAGCTCCTGTAACAATTTGTGAGATATTTCAATATCAATATTTAGCCTGCTTAGCTGGCGGTGTTCAGCTCTGGACTTAAAGTAAAAAAGTATTAAATGTTTTTCTTACAAACGCGCATCTAGCTCCTGTAACAATTTGAGAGACATTTCAATATTTAGCCTGCTTAGCTGGCAGTGTTCAGCTCTGGACTTAAAGTAAAAAAGTATTAAATGTTTTTCTTACCTAGTATATACGTTATCCTGTCGCAAACTCACTTTGCATGTGTTTGTTCAGTTGGAATTAACTTCATGTTAATATTATTAAAGTTTCATCTATCTTGCTCTCCTATACGTCAACCGGAATTACGTAATCTGTTGAACTACAAATCATATATCGTATATAGACCTTCATATTCACTATATTTAACACTGACAAAAATATGAACAAACCAAGGCATATTTTAACATATATACACTTGGGGGAGGAGGGGCATTTGGCCCCCCAGGCTCCACTAGATCGGACTGGGGCCTTAACCTTACCTTGAGTGGCCAAAATCCACACTGGGCCCTAATCTTGGTCCCCGCCACCCACTGTAAAATATGCTCTGGAATGAACCGTACTAAGTCTATGCTTTATAATAACTCTATCATTATCTGCCGTCGATGAAGAATGTATCATCAAGCATGTCCAGTTGAGTCAGTAAGATGAAAAACCATTTTTTCATTAAAACTTGATATAATTGTAAGTTCACCGGCAGCGCGCTTTTTAGTTTATTTATTCCGTTTTAAGTCATAATTCAGAAGTAATTTCCACCACTGAAAAATTTGAAAATAACATACAGAGTACAGCATTAAGTGAACGCCGTTGTGTTTTACGCGTTAAAGAATACGTGAGGGGGAGGGGTGTATATTTAATAATATTTAAGTTTTGCCATGGGGCTGCGTAGCCAAAGCATTCCCATACCAAAATTCGTAGCGCAAAATTAACATGAAAGAAAATTAACTCAAACCCCAAAATAAAAATATGTTACTCTATTTACATATTTAATGATGATGCGCAAAATGCGTCATTTGTGTGTATGACGTCATAATTCGTGACGTCATAATTCTTCATCACCAGCAAAATAATTGTTCGCCATCTTGCAAACGTCTACACATCTGTACAAGTTTTCTGATTGTATGTGATATTTCTCACGGCTTGACTTTCCTCGGAAGGTGTTGAGGTTGACACAGATTTTTCTGCCGACTTCCTGCGCCCTGGCAGCCTCAATATCGTCACAAACGCTTGACGAAATCTTGGCGATCGTAATCCATAGCAAAAGAAATTGACAGACGAGTTTAGGAGGACCAACAAACATTGTAAGTCTCTAAACCAATGCAAAGATTCGCAGCTACACGTTTCACAGAAACTCATTGTGTAAATCAAGATGGCAGACGGTCCATAGCAACCGAGCACCGCTGCCATGACAACCAAAAACATCTTCGTGACCCTGGTTTCCATGCGAACTGTCTTGTCATGGCGACTGCTGACGTGATGGCGGCTCTTGTCATGACGATCATTACTGACGACTCGTTGTATTCTTTCCATCTCGCGTTCCGACCTCGTCACGTTCTGAAAGCGAGTTTTATCTTTCTTAAACTTCCATATCATGAGTCCGTAGGTGAAACACATTATCCCCACGGCTAGAAACACAGTAGTGTTAGCCAAGATAAAAGCACATGTGATGAAACCCACCTCGAAGTAGATGAAAGGCAAAGACAGAGCTATAAGCCATACTGAAATAACTGTTGCAAGGATTCTCTTGCCTGTCAGTTTGGTTCGATAGTTATGTGGATTCCTGATTGCTAAATACCTCTCTGTTGCGAGAGACGCAAGACTGAGTATACTGGCTGTACATGAGATAAAATAACTCATATGAAACAGTCTGATCTCTGCTGTGGAGAGCTGCCCGTACAGACCCTCCTTAATGTGGTAGTTGACAGATAACGGTCCAGTTACCAAGCCTACTATGAGGTCAGCTATGGCTAAATTTGACATGAGATAGTTGAAGGGGCTCCGGAGATTTTTATGAGGATCGCAAGCGACAGCGAGGATTAAGAGGAGGTTACCAGGGATATTTGTGGCTAGGAGTAGGATAGAGATGGATGCTGTGAAGTATGAGAGATGGCTTGGTGCACCTGTGGTGCGACAGCGATCTTCAAACGATCCTTGTAAGTAAGACATGGTTGTAATGATTGCGTCGAGATATTCTTGATGAAGTGAAGAGACAACAGCGATGTTGAAACCTACACAGAGAATAATATGTCAACTCGTTAGCAGATTTTTATGACTTGTTTAATTAAAACTGTCTCAATGACCTGAAATGTGTCTGTGTGGGCCGTTCCTCTCATTCGTACTCTTATGTCTGAGTATATTAAAGAATGCCAACCTTCAGTTGATACAGCAAAGAGACTATAGCCACATAAGTTTCTTGCTATAAATCCAATGGCCATGAACGTTTATAGAAATACTAAAGCTTCCTTTCTGTACCACATTACTTTTCCATTCATTTTCCAAACATTATATTCAGTCATAATAATGTAAAATAAATTAATATGGTCGACTCAATAGATTAAATTACACTTCTTAATGAATTCTATAATTGGGCCAACCCCCTACAATATTTAATACGAGTAATACTCGACAGCATTCATGCTATGTATTCAATAATATCATGATTAATATATCTGCTTTAGAAGCTGTCAAAGTGTTCAGTTATGATAAATCATGTAGACAATTTTGAGACATCCATTATGATCCACCTTGGCAGCTGCGTAACTTATGAAATTCAAATGAACAACAGGAAATAGTTGTTTTTAAATAGACTTTAATTGAGTCGCTTTATCTTCTAATAGTTTTGCCTTTTGCTTTCCTTAGAAAAATAATATCTATTTATCTATTGAAGCTTATTCCCATAATCCCATTACTTCGCTCAGACGTGGCTTTATAGCGAAGTTTGTACTAGATTTGTATTACTGTATTTTATTTTGTCGCATACGCCATATAGGTCAAGACGACAAGAGCACTGTAAAAGTACGATATTGCGGTGCGTAGAAGATAGACGTATGGTATATTGTATGTAAATTTGCAGTGTGGTTTCACATGAAATTAAAAATGAAAAATTTGCACAAAACATCAAAAATTGAACGTTAGTGAAAGACAGTATAGCTGTTCAGAATCATAAGTCTCTGATCATAAACTATTACCTGCTATTTATTTGTTTAAGTTTGTGTCCATTTTAACCTTCTTTAAATAAAAAATCAACTCAAAGTTCATTTCATTATTAACGCTAGAATTTATTTTCCATCTTGAAATAGAAAGACTTCCCAGCTGTTAAAAAAATAATATTTTGTGCCATTTTTGAACAAAATATAACATGCCAAAACTTGTTTTTCTAATCTCCACAGGTACATGAAATACAAGAGAAATAAATGATCGGAAATTACTACTTAAATTCAAAAACAATGAATGTGTCAATATTAGTTGACATAGGAAACTGAATTGAAAATTTGAAAAACAAGCGAAACACGTAAATTTATCTTCTTTGACTTTGTGTGTAAAACTAATTCATACTGTGGGAAAGTTTGAATGGAGGGATCTTTGCTTTAAGAGTATAAGCATATATTATTGGTAATATAAGACGATTTATTTTTAATCTGAGTGGCTATCAAGGTATATAGTTACGTTTTTCATAATCTTAGTCCTTACAGCAAGCCATAAATATATCAAGAAACAATTGTCAGTAAGAATATAGAATCAGATTCCTTTCATGGAGATTTTTGCTTCAAGGATAGAATTCTTGGCAGTAGACACTCGATTGCCGCGGGTTATGTATTTTACTAATCTTCTACCAAGCTATAAACATCTCAAGTCAAGGTTTTAGGTAGTAGTTAATCTGTGAATATAGTCAATATACTTAAGATATAAAGGTATAGTTACCTCAACAGATGTACACTTGCTTCTTGTGGTATTGTTCTGTTCTCGCGCAAACCTCCGTGTTGTAGCTAAGACGCGCTATCCAATTACACATATTGGTCTATGGTTTCATTATCCGCGAAACACCTGGAAACTAGAGACGCGCGCAGGGTCTGCTGGGCCCAACTGATCTCAGTTAAATCTGGAATGCCTTGCTTATGCACGATACTATCTGATAGATAGATAGATAGATAGTTTAATAAAACATTTACATTGCAGCCAAAGGCTGAATTACGTAAAGTTTACAAAATACGAATTATTATTTAATTACTATTATAATTATTAAGTTAAAATTATGCAAATATTTAAAATTTTACTAGGATGATAATAAAAAAGATACCACTAACGTTATGAAGACATCTTCGATGCCATCGCAAATATAAAAGAGTTTTTAGTACGATTAGTATTAAAATGAGGAATGTCAAATTGATGACCATTTCTGAGATCGTGGTGCCAGTTATGTTTCTGTGGGAGGAGGTCATAAAGTTTGTGGTTTGAATCCTTTGTAACATTATCAAACAAATTTCTGCATAAGAAATTATGGTGTTCTTCTATTGGTTTGATGTTCAAAATTTCTCCTGTTGCAGAGTAGTCCATTCCTGGATTTATTGTTGAAATAGCCCTTTTTTCCAGTCGAATAAATTCGTTCTTTAAGTATTGTGGAAGGGAGTGATAAAAAGCTGGTACTGCGTAATCCATGACAGATCTAACGCAAGACGTATAGAATAACACAAGATCTTTAACTGGTAACCTAGCTCTTTTTAATTGAACCAGGTAATATAGTCTTTTACTGGCTTTTTTGACGACCTCTTTTATATGGGCATGCCAAGTTAGATTGTTACTTATTGTTACTCCCAATAATTTAGCACTTTCGACTATTTCGACTTCTTTACCATTGAGTATGACTTGATCTAGAACAACTGGGTCCTTACTAAAAGAAATTCTCAATTCTTTACATTTGTCTGGATGTAGCTTTAATCTATTTTCTTCTGACCATTGCTTAATATGATCTGCTATGTTTTGGACTGTACTAACATTGCCTTTGGGAAGAATTTCCGATGCTGTGGTATCATCCACGAACTTCCACATGTATGGGGAATTAATATTCAGGTCTTGGATCATTAAAATAAATAACCATGGACCTAGCTTTGTACCTTGCGGTACACCAGACGGAACAAGGCCCCACTCAGAAAAACAGCTATCGGCCAATTTTACTCTCTGCGTTCTATGAGAAAGAAAATCTATTATCCAGTTAATTATACTTCTAGGTATGTTCAAATTACCCAGTTTCTTTACAAGAATTGTATGGTCGATAAAATCGAATGCCTTGCGATAATCAAACAATATTGTCCTTATTGTTGCCCCATTCCCGTCAGTGTTTATAAACCAGTGATGCAGCATGCTAATTAACGCCATAGTGGTTGACGAGTTTGGAATCGCTCCATATTGACTAGCATCGATTATGTCTAGAATTGCCGGTTTAACATAATCCTCAACAATGAATTCCTCTGCCACCTTAGAGATGCAAGGGGTCAGGGAAATAGGCCTGAGATCTTTTTCCAATATAGTCACTGGTTTTTTTTTTGGTAACGGCGAAACATTAGCTTTCTTCCAGATGGTAGGCAGCTGCTGTTCGTAATAGGAAGCATTGATAATTTTCATGACAGGAAGGGCCAAAAGATAAGAATATTCTTTAAAAATCCAGTTTGGTAGATTGTCTGGTCCAGGCGCCTTGTGAGGATTTAATTTCTCTAGAACTTTTTGAACACGTTCTTCAGTAACTTCCAAAAATTTTGGTGGGTCTTCTAACGGAAGATGTTTGAGGGGTTCTGATATTCTGTATTCGGCCAAGGGTGCAAGAAAGGCAGTATTAATGGTATTAGCTTGTTCATGTGGAGGGAGGTTCGTAAATCCTTCGACATTGATTTGATGGGTTAAATTTGTGCCTGCCGACTTTATTCCACTTAACCGCTGTTACTCAGTGGCGAAGCTAGCCCTATCAACAGGTCATGCTATGCAAATTTTAATGATTTGCATTATCCACATCTTTAGAAATGTATTGAGTCTTTATATCTTGTGCAGGTTTATTCCTTAGTATAGCATGACCCATTCGCGTACCCAGAGCCCTTTTTACGCGCGGTGCGACGAGGGGCTCTGGCCAAATCCATA